GGTGGATTCAAACTGCATGCCTTTGTGATTACAGGGCAGGTTCTTACCACTAGGCCACCAGAGCTCATGGTTGTTGTTATGTGCCATCAAGTTGCTTGCAACTCATTGTGACGCTATATACAACAAGCCTGAACCCTGATTTATCCTGAGTCAACCTTACTGTCTCTGACAAACCTACCCCCATTACTCCAGTCACAGAATCAATCCATCTCCTCAAGGGTCTTTCTTTCTTGCGTTGTCCCTCCACTCTCCCAAGCGTAATGTCCCTCTTCAAGGACTGTATAACGTCTTATTAATATAAAAATATTATTCAGGCCGTATTTTTTATTTTTTTAATGTGCATTATTGTTGTTATGTGCTATCTACCGTGAATGTTAATTCGTATCCAAGTAAAATGAAATCTTTGATAGCTTCAGTCTTTTTCCATCTTTCATAATGCTGCCTGTTGATGGAGTGGTGAGGATTTTTGCTTTCTTGGTCTTAGATGTAACCCATATGAGGATGTAGTCTTTAGTATCCCTCACAAGATGCATCGAGTCTTATTCTCTTTCAACAAGCAAGGTTATATCATCTGCATAATATAGGTTATTAATGAATAGGAGTCTTCCTCCAATCCTGATGCCGTAGTAAAGTGTTCTTAATATAGATAATTTCTAACCCCCTCAAAAGAACAAATAAATGTGCAGAGATTTTAACATGTCAACTCTGTTCTTTCATCCATCCTGCTGTCCCTGTATGTCTGTACATTTAGCCATCTTTTCTTTCTTAATTTTTAAAACACATCCGTTAACTCAAACCGTGTATTATTATTCCGAGACAGCATTATTTTGCATGAGAACCGTGCTAGAGCTTATACCTAGCATGAGAGATTTAGGTAAGCTATGTGTGGTAAGAAGAAAATGTCCAGTGTGCTTTATCAGTGAGTTATTGAGGAAAAGTGCAACATTTTCCTCTCTGACAATCTTAAAATATAATAGGATAAACTCTCATCTCTCTGATGGCAAGGCTATGACCCCACTTTACTGCCTTGTTGTTCTCTGATGTGTGGACAAACCTGTAGAGTGGTTTTCTGACGACTTCTTTCCCTTTTAAGTGGCAGAAAGATATATTGCTTAGAATATGATGTGAGAGAGACATTTATTAATCCCTCACCCACACTTGCCTTTAGGACTGAGGAGTGTATCACTCCCAAGGGTGTGAGACTGTTCATCTTTTAACTTTTAAATATTAAAATCACTGTAAAATTCTTCTCTGACTAATCCAGAATAAAGACAGCAAAGATTAGTGTCACTAGGATATAGTTTTACATGAGCAAATAATTTTAAATAGGCTTAAATCTAAGAGGTGGAAGCTGCTTTGTCTTGACTGAAGGGATTTCTTTTTTTTTTTTTTCCATTGAAGGTATTTATGTCAGGTTTGCTATGATAGCTCTCTGTGTGTGTGTGTGTGTGTGTGTGTGTGTGTGTGTGTTTGGGAGATGAATGGAGCAAAAGAAAAGAGAAGAGGGGAAAGAGGGAGAGAGCAGAGATGGGCTCTAAAGCTTTGTCAGCTTGATGTAAATTCAGAAGCTCCTTTTATTATGGCAAAGATCTAATGGAGAGCTTTTAATAAACATTTGGACCAAAATAACAGCTTGTTAGATCCAACGTTTTCTCAAAATATCTTTTTTGTGAAGTGTGTGTGTGTTTGTGTGTGTGTATATACACACAGATGCATGTACACATAGAGGGAGCCCTGGTGGCTTAATGATAAGAAATTGCACTGCCAACCGAAAGGTGGTGGTTGTTATGTGCTGTCTTATGTTATGTGACTTACAGCAACCCTATACACAATAGCTCTGCCCCCTGCTCTGTCCTGACCCAGTCTCACTGTCTCTGACATACCTACTCTCATTACCCCAGTTATTGTGTCAATCCATCTTATCCAGGGTCCTCCTCTCCTGCTCTGTTACTCAACCTTTGCAAGCATGATGTCCTTCTCCAAGGACTGGTCCCTTCTGGCACATGCCCAATGTATGTGAGACAGAGTTTCAAAATCTTTACTTCCAAGGAGCAGCTTGGTTTCTCCCTCTCCAGGTCAGACCTATTAATTCTCTTGGCAGTCCATGGTCTATTCAGAACTCTTCTCGAGGATCACAACTCAAAGGCATCAATTCTTCTGTCATCCTTGGTCATTGTCTAGCTTTTTGATGCATACTAAGGAATTGTGAAGATCATGGCCTGGATCCACGTGCACTTTAGTTTCTAGATTGACACCTTTGCTTTTCTGCACTCTGGAGAGGTCCTTGACAACAGATTTCCCTAATGCAATTCACTTTTTGATTCTTTTACTGGTGCCAAGAGTGTTCATTGTGGAACCAAACAAACTGAAATTGTTAATAACCTCAATTTCTGTTTCATCCATCATGAACCAGCCAATTGGCCCAGTGGTGAGAATGTTTGTTTTCTTGATGTCGAGCTTCAATCCATATTGTAAACTACAGCCCTTGACTTTCCTCAGAAGATACTTCAGATCTTACAGTTTCAGCAAGTAAGATTCTGTCATCTGCATAATGAAAATTACTGATGAGTTTTCCAGTCCTGAAGCCAAATTTCTCCTCATAAAGTCCAACCTCTCGAATGATCTGTTGTGCATATAGATTGAAATGATATGGAGATAAGACATATCCATGATGCATTCCTTTTCTGATTTTGCACCATGCAGTATTTCCTTGGTCTCTTCTGAGGACTGCTTCCTCGTACAAGTATAGATCAATGAAACATAGATAGACATTCTTCTGGTACTCTCTGCTTTCTGCCAAGATGACGTTCAAATCCATCAGCTGCTCCATGGTAGGAAGAAGGGTAGTCTCCTCTAGTGCATTTTACTGTCTCTAAAAAACCCACTAGAGTATCAACTATGAGACTGTTCCTACTTGACAGTACGCAACAGTATAGTGTACACACACACACACACACACACACATACGTGCGTACCTTCACAAGAGATGTAAAAATGCAGAGATAAGCAGAGGTGATGGGGGAGAACATTTTCTTTATTGAATGGTTTTGATAGAAAATAACTTTGGTATGAATGATTTCATGTTCATTCATTCACCAAATCCTCATTGAACCCATCAAGCACACTCATTCTGCTAGAAATGAAGGGCAAGAAACTGTCTAAATGCATGAAGGAGTGATGACATGCCTTTTAGTCACTGGTGCATGTGTGACAGTTAATCTGTACCTGTTAATTGGAGAAGTCCCTGCTGACTTTGCGATGAAGTCTTAGCTCCTCAGCCTGAGATTTTTATTTTTTTATTTGTGATCGATTGCCACTTAACGTCCCAGCTCCATCTTCTGCTCGTCCTAATTTTAGGAGAATCCTATAGGAACATTTATTCCCTTATCAGAGTTTCCCCCTCTTGAGTTAGATAATAAGGATGACAGAAGAATTGATACCTTTGAGTTGTGATCCTGGAGGAGAGTTTTGAATATACCATGAACTACCAAGAGAATGAATAGGTCTGATCTGGAGAGGGTGAAACCAAGCTGCTCTTTGGAAGCAAAGATTTTGAAACTCTGTCTCACATATGTTGGGTGTGTGGCCAGGAGAGACCAGTTCTTGGAGAGGGACATCATGCTTGCAAACATTGAGGGACAGAGCAGGAGAGGAGGACCCTGGATAAGATGAATTGACACAATAGCTGGGGTAATGGGGTAGGTATGTCAGAGACAGTGAGAGACTCCTCTCCTGGAGTTAAGGAGACTTACAGCCGACCTCCAGCAGGTTTTTGGAGGTGGTAAATAGGCTGTGAGGTGATTACCTGTCATCTTCCTGCAGAGTAGCTGGTAGATTTGAACTCCCAGACAGGTATAGCCAGTTGGCTAGCATCAGAGTTCTCTACCGGCTATACCTCTTGAACGTCCCCAACTTGGTGTAGGTCTTTTCAAATAACTTATGATCCTTCAGATGTGTACTCTTTCTTCACTCCTTCTTTTTGGTAGGGATGTGAACTTTCTGCCTTCTTTTGCTGGTGTAATATTCCCCCACTCCTCTGTCAGATTTGTCAGTCCTGGAGTTTAGAGCCCATCTTCTTCACTCTGGTCCTTTAGCACCCAGTGCAGTGTTTAGATAGCCTCCGTATATCCATTTCAATTGAATGTCTACACTTGATGGATTCAAGTAGGGTTTGTTGAGTGGATGAATTAATGAATATTCCTTTTGCATAGGAAAATGTTTACTTTCAACTTCTCTGTATCTCTGAGTAGCTGAGTGCATTATGTATTGGACTTCTAATGGAAAGATTGTCTGTTTGAATATACCAGCCACTTTGCAGGAGAGTAATACAGTCTTAGAAACAAGATGCAGGGTGATTAAGTATCAGTGGACTTGGATGGTTTTTGTATCTATAACTAAACATGAAGGGATATAGATATAACTCTCTGGTGGGTCAGCCATGAGTCACATCTGACTTTGATTTCTTGAATATGTGTATTACCCACATTTCCCAGTTCACAGTTTTTTTTGTGTACCATGTAGTGACATGTGTTACCTTAATTAGGCTGTGCATACGTCATCAGTCCCAGTAGCTAAATGCCCATTAAGTGGCTAACATTTAATAAGTGCTCATTTTGTGTCAGAAATTGCTCAAAGCACTTTATACATATTAGATCATTTTGCTTCTCACAATTGTAAAAGAAAATGCTATGATTATTACCATGTTGCATAAGAGGAAACTGAGGTACAAAGAATCAGTCATTTCTTCAAGATCCTTCAGCCAATAATTACTTCAGATTTGACATTCAGAAGACATCCTTGCAGTGTTTAAATGAATGTTCTTTAATTTTAAAGGATTTACTAAGACATTGCTTATATTACATTGATTGTAAACCTTTCTCTAAGATCTTTGTTATAATAGGCAATTTAAGAATTATTATAGAATGTTATTTTGTGTTGATTAAATTTATATCTAAAAAAATGAAATTATGTCAAAGATGTGTGGTGTAATTTTTTTATAGGACAGAGTTTATTCAAAAAGGCAGCATTTCAATCACCGGGGCTGGATTTTTCAACTATATTTTGGAATCTTTTGCCAGCACGTTCTTAAAACAAGGTGCCCAGAAGGTAAGCTTGTTTCCACTTTGAACCAACATTAATTTTAAGGAACTGTGGACATTTCTATAAAATTATTAACTAATGCCCATGAACAGACATAATGAGAAAAAATAAGGTTAATAAACAAATATATGCAAAAGTAATTACCCTCACTAATTATTACATAAATGCTAATCAAAGTAAAATTAAAATACCATTTGAGGCTCATTAAATTAATAAATTAAAAATGAAGACTGTGATAATGCAGAGAATACTTATGGTCTAATTAAGAGAAATCAGAATGAGAAATTGAATTTCTGGTATATGTGATATGATATCAACTATTGAATATAAAAGATAAAGGTAGCTTGTGTTTATTGTACTCTTATTATAAGTACTTACTATGTGTTACTTACTGTTGAAAGAATTTTTATTTGCTATGTCATTTAATCATATGTCTCAGTAGAAGAAAAGCTGAAATAGAAGCACAGGGCCATGAATGTCTCTCTGAAAGGGCCAGAAGGAGTAAGAAGAGCACAACCTCTCACTGCCCAGAATAGAAAGTAGATAAAGAGCCCATAGCCCAGCCTCACGGTGCTGCTAGAACCACAACAGCAGCAAAAGGTTGGTTTATTCATAGCTGGACTAACAGACTCATAGTTATGGCACCGACAATGAGTTTATTAGGGAAGTTGGAGAGTGAGCAAGGCAAAGAATATTACCCCAGACAAGTCCAGGTTTTAGTCCATCTTCCAAGGCATAAGTCCAGGCTCTGGATTCAGTTCAGCAGTCAAATCTGTACCATTCAACAAGGTTTGCTTCAGAGTAGTTAAGTCAGCTTCTCCTTCAAACATCCAGCAAGAGAGGCAAAAACCTTTAACTGTGGCCAGCACAAATGCAAGAAGCCTGAGGTCCCTCCTTGCCACAGTTTCTCCATAGCAATGCCACAGTCTCTCTACCACCATTACCAGTATCTCTCTTTCAGCAGGGTCTTACTCCAGGCTTCATCCATCCTGCTGCCACATGTCTTGCTTGCCTCAAATCTTGCCACCAAGTGTGAGAAGCACTTTTTAAAAAACTAGTCCCACAGCTGTTACTGATTTGTAAGACCATTTGGCTGCAATTAAGGTAGCTGGAGATCAGAGGGACTAACTATCATGGCTTAAAAAAAAACAACAAACAAACCCAAAACCAACCAGCTTTCAGGCTAACAACACATCCAAATGTCAACAAATTTATTTTCTTGATATAGATGAGCAAGGTAGAGGTTGGTTAATTTGTTCAGATTGACATAATTTGCAAGTGGCCAGGCCAAGTTTAAGTCCAGGTCTGCACAGCTTCACTGCCTGTGCTTTAAAACTTTATCCTCTGGTTTAAAAAAAATACTATAAATAAACTATATGAAAATAGCAAAAGCATTGTTGTGGTGGTTGTTGATAGGTATTACTGAGTCAGCTCTGACTTAAATAGTGAAACGGTGAACACTCAGGGCCTAAGAATAAGAGGCCCTATCCTGCACCATCCTTATGATCTCTACCATGCTCAAGCCCAGTGTTGCACTCACTGTGTCATCTATTTGGTTGAGGATTTTCCTCTCTTCCTCTGACCCTCTACTTTTCCCAATGTATTTTTTCTCAAGTACTTGTACTTTCTGATAGCATGCCCAAAGTATGTGAAATGGTTTCACCATATTTTCCTCTAAGTGGGTACCCTGCTTACACATCATCCTAGACAGATTTATATATCATGGTACTGTTAGAGAAAAATTTAAAAAAAAACACACAAAAAAACCCCACATGTGAATACACACGAGAGACAATGTACAGAGGAAGTAGGTGAAAGCCCTTTTGTTGTTAGATGTCATTGAGTCCAACACAACTCACGATGACCCCATGAATAACAGATCTGAACCCAGCCCTCTCCCCTGCCTGCCTCTTCATCTCTGCCTCACTCGATCCCGTTGTTATAGTCACTGGGTCAGTCTGTCTTACTGAGAGTCTTCCCTTTCTTCCCTGACTCTCCACCTTTCTGAGTATGGTCTCTTTTTCAAGAATACACCCAAAGTATGAGAAATGCAATTTCACTGTCCTTCCCTCTAAGGAGCATTCTGACTGCACTCTTTAAGACATATTTTGCTGTTTGTGTCATATTTTTTACATATTTTACTTTATAGTCCATTGGATATTTTGTGCTCTTCTCTAGCCCCACAACTCAAAGACACCCCTTTTCCCCTTGGATCCCATATGTTTTACTAGTTATCCTTCGGTTTTTACAATAATGGTCTTATGCAGTATTTATCTCTATGAGCCTGAGTTAGTTCACTCAGCATAATACCCTCTAGTCTCTCCCAAGTTATACATAATTTTTGAAATTGTTACTCCAGAGTGCTGTGTGGTATTCTGTAGTGTGAATGTAATTTCTGAATCCATATGATTGTGGTTGGATATTTGGACTGTTTTGTGATTGTAAATAATGCTTTTCGGAACATTGGTGTACAAGTATCTGTTTGTGCCTCAGGTCCGTTTTCTCGGGGTATATTCTAAGCTGTGGAATAGCTGGGCCATATGGAATGTCTTTGTTCAACTTTTTGAGGAAGTGCCAAACTGCCTTCATGAGTGGTTGTACCATTTTATAATTCCACCAACAGTGAATGAGAGATCCAGTCTCTCTACATCCTTTCCAACATTTATTGCTTGCTGTCCTGTTAAACTTTGCCACTGCTATGTGGGTGAGGTTTTATCTCATTGTTCAGTTCATTTGAATTGCATCTCTCTTTTGCCTGTGATTTTGAGCATTTCTTCATGTGTCTGTTGGCCATGTGTCTGTGGAAACATGTCTCTTGCCCATTATCTAATTGAGTTATCAGTCCTTTTCTTCTGGAGGCCCCATAGGATTCTCTAAACATTTTTTTTTTTATGAGACCCTGCTCTGAGATGGTATTGTCAAATGCTTTTTCCCAGTCAGTAAGTTTTCTTTTCACCATACTGGGAAAATTTTTTTATGCATGCAGTGATTTAGGTTTTAGAAAGTCCTATTCATCAATTTTATCCTCTTCTGGTTGTATATTTCTCGCTGTATTTGACAGCATTTAAATCTCATAGGTGAGGTCTTATAAACTTGGTCCCACTTTGTGTCTTATGGTATTTATGGTTTTGGGCTTTATGTCTAGGTCTCTGATTCATCCTGAGTTGATTTTTGTGTATAGTGAGAGGTATAGATTCTCCTTCAGCTTTGTAGGTAGTCAGTTTTGCCAGCATCATTTGTTGAAGAGGCTATTGTTTCCCCATAGATAGATTTCTAGATAGATTTTGTTTCCTTCTCAAATATCTGTTGACCATAGATAAATATGTTAATTTCTGGGTTGTTGATTCTGTTCCATTGCTCTGTGTGCCTGTCATTGTACCAGTACCATGATATTTTGGTTATTACAGCTGTATAGTAGGTTTTGAGGTCAAGAAGTGCTATGCCTCCTGCTTCATTCTTGTTTTTAAGAAGTGCTTGGCTTATTTGAGGTCTCTTTCCTTTCCAAAGAAGTTTGCCTTTTGATCTCCTTGAAAAATGAATTTAGTATGTGTATTGGAATTGCATTAAACATGTAGATTGCTTTTGGTTGGATTGTGATTTTCACAATTTTGAGTCTTTGTACCCATGAACAGAATATTTTTCCTCTCATTTAGGTCTTTTATTGTTTCTCACTGAAGTATTTTGTAGTTTTCTTTGTAAAGGTCTTTAGTGTCTCTAGGTGGGTTTATTCCCAAGTGTCTAGATTTGTTGTTGGCTGTTGTAAATGGTGATGCCTGGGTGACATGGCAGAAATCTGTAAGATGGTCATGCTTATTCTTATTGAGGGTCGGGTGGAAAGTCTGGCTGTTTTGTGATTTAAGCTTATTGTTTAGTGTCAGCAAGATGTCCTGGAGGGCCTGAGGGCCTGTGGCACTCAGAACCTCATGTTATAATTCAGAGGAACATTCTTCTAAGTGGTGCAGCACTCTTCTGTCAATTTGCTGTACTGAGGTAATCTAGGTTTGCTGTGATTCTGAACCCTTTGCCACTGGGGAGTCAAATGCCATAACGGTTGCCCATGGTGGGATAGTGTTTGGTGGAACTCCCAGTTTAAGACAGGTTTGGAAGTAGGAGTGGCATCTACTTCCTGAACCACACACCTCTGGAAACGATAAACTTGGAGAAATGATGTTAGAAAGGCTTCAGGCCTTTTGTTCATAGAGTCACTAGGAGTCATGCTCAACTCAACGACAATCAACAACATTGTAAATGGTATTGCTTTTTTCATTTCCTTCTCTGTGTTTTTCTTTGTTACTGAAGAGGAATCCTCCAGACTTGTGTACGCTGATTTTATATTCTGCCACTCTACTAAATTGGTCTACTAGCTCTATGGTTTTTTTGTTGAGTCCTTGGAGATTCCCATGTACACTCATATCATCAGCATATAGTGACAGTTTCACTATCTCTTTGTTAATCTAGATGCCTTTTATTTCCTTCCCGTGCCATATTTCCGTAGCAAGTACTTCCAATACAATACTGAATAGGAGTGGTGACAGTGGGCATCCTTGTGTAGTACCTGTTCCCAAGGAGAATGATTTTAGTCTCTCTCCATTGAGAGTGATATTAGCTCTTGGTTTTGCATAAGTTTTGGAAATTACCTTCTATTCTTGTTTTGGTGAGTATTTTGCTCAGGAAGGTGGGTGTTAAATTTTTGTCAAAAGTCTTTGACATTAGTTGCTAGGATCATGCAGCTCTTGTTATTTGCTTTATTAAGGTGATACATTACTTTGCTTGCTTTTCTTATGTTTAACTGTTCTTGCATACCTGTTGTGAATCCCACTTGGTCATGATTTTTGTTGTTGGGTTTTTTTGTTTTTTTTTGTTTTTTTGTTGTTGTATGGCTGTGTTGTTGAATTCAATTAGCAGGATTTTGTTAAGGATTTTTTGCATCTATATTTATATGATACTGGTCTATAGATTTCTTTTTTTGGGGGGAATATTTTGAGTCGGATGATCATATGATATAT